TTTTCCCTAAAAATTAAAAGCAATATATTAGATTTGATGGTGTTGTCTGATAATTAAAAAAAACCTAATGGGTTGTGCCTTTTTTTTCAACGAAAAGGGGGACAAATCCATTTAAGATTAAGGCCTTTGTTATGTTTTTTTAAATCTCGCGATAAAACATCTCTCACGTTCTTTTCTCAAGTGGTTCTATCGTTTGACAACTTTCCTGTTGCTTTCTACTTTTAGTATGCATGCGCCATTTTTCGAATATTCCGAATTTATTTGTTACTCACTAGACAAGAAATGTCTTTGTTTCTATGACGACGATAGTTTCATATTTATGATGGATCTCTAGCAATTTCTTCATTTCTACATTGTCTCACTAAACCTTTTTGACTGATGTCAAACACCTTGTATGAAATATGGAATACAGACGAGAAAGAAAGATGACATTACATGAATTCCAGTATTTTTTGGAGTGAACTAGGGACTGCTGTAGGATTGTAGGATTGACGGCACTTATAATTCCTTTTGCAAACAGTTTTAGCCATAGTGCAAGCCTTGATGTGTATAACAAATGAAAAGGCTTGTCAAATAATCAGAGCAAAGAAGATTCTTCTGAGGGCGATCTAAGGGTTATCTAATGGTGATGAAAGTTTACTCGATAACACCAAGTGACTATAACAAGATAGTGAATCCTAACAGGTAAAATTAATATTGAAGCGAATTATGATGACTTTGGGGCTAAATCGTTCATCCTGATTCTTGACTCAAAAAAAATTTGTCAAATTCTTGTCGTTTTCAGCCTTTTGACAAATTTCAATTTTTCCTCGCCTCATGTGCTCTTATAATTTACCGCTTGCAAGTGAATAAAAATTGTTTGTGAGAGCAAGATTGACTATACGCCAGCCTAATTTCACAAAAGTAATTTTGGACATGGAAACTATAAAGAAAACGTTCTTTTCTCTAGATCTGATTACTTTTTGTTTATCCAGCCCAGATATACGAATTTTTCCTGAGAGATAACATCTCAGTGGCTGTAACCGACATTAAAATTTCCCTCTGTATATATATTTCTAGTGTGGGAAAAACAAATCTGCATTTTATACCCTGTGGCCCTAAATAATTCAAAAGAATTTCATTTGGCCAAATTGCATTCAAATGTTGCGCAAACGATGGCCATAAAGTGCTCGTTATCGTAAAATGCATGCAAGGAAAAGACGGAGACAAAAGATTCACCTGCTCTTACGGGAAATGAGAAAAACATTCACTTTCTTTGTTAACAGTTTCGTAGAATTGCAGACAAAATTTCGTCTTACAAATCTCCGTCATTCTTTTATCTTCAATTCAACTTCATCCGCTAACGTCAATAGCGACTTAATGTTTACTTCATTAAAAAAAATACGCTTCTTGCTTTTCTCCAGGTCTTCTGATATTAGAATATTTATGAATTCAGACTGCAAGAACGGTGCACCACTGGCTTCAGAAAATTCAAAACGAGCAAAGTTAATTTAGCAATAGGGAAAAAAGGACCATCATATAAAGTTATTAATGCTTGAAACTGCGCTGCAATATATTTACAAGACAACAAGACAGCATGTATTCTCAATTAAAATCTTCATCAATGTTCAAAAATATCGTTTGTTTTGGGAAATCCTGAGAAGTAATGAACCAAACGATTTGCGTAAGATTTTAACTTGGAACTCTGACAGATTAGATAGCCAGCTTTTCTAAGCATTGCTTCAATTTATGTAACATTATTTCTCTTCTGAATAAAATGTTGAAGGAGTTGCCTGTGAAACCTACTGGCGTACTATTCTACATTTTACAGGAAGTGTATTTAGAATTCTCAGATATTCAAAGAAAATATAGCGTTCCAAGTCCCATTGCGTTAAATTAAATGCTCCGTCTTTTTTATCTGTAATTTTCTGAAGCATACATAAAAACAACAAAAATGTATATATTATTCTGGATTTTCTCATCAATCAGCTTATTTTTTACCTGTTTGCCAGTCCCCGAGACATCTTTGATAATGAATTCAATACTATTTCTTAAATGATGACCACAAAAATCCAATTTGTTTTGCCTAATGCTTCTTTTTTTCTTTTGAAACGTTCTTTCTCTATTTCATTTATTCGAAAATAAACAGAACGGATAGAAGCGGTGTGATTTTCCACCTTTTTGACCATTTTGCGCCTGCTTGCGACCGAATATTCCTTTACCAAAGATTCAGGTATTGTATTTATTTTCATCATCACTGATTGGAAAAACCTTCAACATAAACAAAAAAAATTTAAAAAAACTTTACGCTCTTTCGACAGATACTGGGAAAATAGTTTAAATAAACTAGTTTGTTCTAATGAAAGTATGAGTCGACCGTTGCAAAAAAAGAATACTGGAACCATTTGAAGATAAATTGCAAAACGAGGACTGCATGGGACTGAAATACAAAACGTAGCAATTAAAGAAACATGTAAAGACGATTCTAAATGTTCATTTCTGCCCGGAGCTGAATACCACTCAGTTTCACATTTTTTTCCTCCAATGCTTGGCTCTTCCGCCTATTTTGCTATTTATCTATTTATCAGAGAGGTAATCCATAATTACTTTTAAAAATTTTAAAAAATCAACTCCATTCGACGTGGTCAATAAAAGGATTTATGAGTAAGAATGTTACAACTGGAAGTCACTCATGTTTGGCAAAATATGTAAAAGTTTCATCATGGTAGGTTTCATCTGCCGCTACTGTTGTTTCGTTTTCTCACTGAAAATTTCATTACAACGGGTAATTAAAAAAATAAAAATCACTTCAACACCCTAACTGGATGAAACTGCCAACAGGAATTGATAGAAAATGAAAAATTAAGCCCTATCGCTATAGGTAAATTCAGTCATATCGTCAACATATTCGAGCATATTCGCTCCGACTAAATAAAGGTGTGTTTTTCCAAGAAAACTTGCCCGACTTGATATCTTATTAATCATTTCCATTGTTGGCAATGTTTCAACGCAAGTTGTTCTGTAGTACTGGGTCTAGATCTACATTAATCAATCAGGCCCTAAACATTGCTCAAAACCAGACACATCTTTTATAACAATTCATGTTCACCTTAAAACGTAAAATACATGGTTTTTAAGACAACTGTTCAATATATCTATTCACAGTTTTGAAACCTTTAAGAACTTATCGAGAATTTCATTTCATCATGATTAAAAAAAGGAGTGAAAATCAGAAGGCTAAAGATCATAAAGAAAACCTTTTACATGTAAAACAAGAGATTATATGTTCTTGATGTAAAATGAGGCAGTGTTTTGATACGATAGCCTTAACCAATTTAGCTTTATGTCCTAGCGTTTGCTAACCTATAAGATAACAAAATCTTGCAAACATGTGACTCAGATACTCGAAGATTTTGCTAACAAGAGGGCCTTTCATAGATATATTTCGCGATAACGGTACGGAGGAGTTGCTTGTACAATTTTAGCAGATAGTAAGAGCTATCAAGAAAGTGTTCGTGCCTTTAGCCAAGTAATTGCAGTAAGTACTGAACGGCCTATGGCCGAGAGGGAGACGTAATTTATTTGTTTGAAAACTTATATCAAAATCTGGATCTGAGATTACTGTTTTTATAGATCGTGAGTACGTTTTCCTCTTACTCATACTTATTTTTATTTCTCGGTCAAGTAAGTATGTTAAGTATGGCTTCACAAGCCCGCAGGAGCTGCTTGGTTTTGGAAAAATGCTTAAAAAAGGTGTTCAATTGTCTTTCGGGTGCCGATCAGTCCTACTGCTCAGTCACGCTAAAACGCGAGTAACTAAAATTATCCTTTCAGGTTTGTTGTTTACTTCAACAAGAAATTAAGTGGAGAGATCTCTATTCCTTACGCCAGTTAAACAAAACACAGTTAATTTAATTAGAACTGGATCGAGTGAGACATTATTTTCCCTTACAATGAATGTAGTCGTTGTCTCTAAATAATCAAAGCAGCTGAGCTAAACGTGAGAAAAATTACAGGTGTATATTTAGAAAAAGGCACTTCCCACTTTCCTGATCTAAATATATTTCTCATTCTTAATTATAGATATCTTGGGGGCCTAATGAGTAACGAAGATGAGAAACGGCGTTTACTTTACGTTCATTTCTATCTCAAACCCTGATCTTATCTGTAGATTGTCAGACAATTGTCAGATCTTTGGACCGGGCAGTTAAATGAAAACATCGAGTGCCTCATGACGAATACATCAGTAAGGAATTTCCCTGATTAAAGAGAGATGTACCTCTCCTTAGAATACATTTTGACATAAAAACAACAACAGAGAAATGCGAGCAATTAGTCGTCATTTACACTCTTACTGGCAGCCACTTGTACCCGACGTCCGCGCTACAAAAAGGTTACGTGACTCTGATACGAATTAAAAAATTTCCTATCAGCGGTAAAAGTAGTCTTCCAGCTGGGTTAAAAATGGTCAATTAAAATTTTAAGACCCAAGAGTACAACATGGAACTCAATTAATCACAAGAAATGGCTATTTAAGTGCTTTAATTTCGCAGTTTAAATCAGTGGTGAACCTTCCAGACGAGAAAGGGCGTGATAACGTAACTTCAACTTTATCATATACAGTTATCGACTTTACTAGAAGAGAAACCATATTGTGTTTCCTCTTTAGAAGTGTGCTTTTAGCTAAAGTACGTTGTCAGGTGACCTAAACTTCCGATACTTTAGACAAGAACTTCCATACTGCTAAGCTTCATTCACGACATTAACAACTGTCTACCACAGAAGATATAAATCACGCAAATATGTCAGCTCTATTAAAATATAGAAAAGCTTTACCTCAAGACATAATAATTCTCATAAAAGTTTCTTTGGCCAAACTGAAGTGTAAACTCTAAGCTGCCTTCTATAAATGTCATTTTCTTTGCTGATAACCGGAATCTATGATTATTAAATCTATTAAGTTCCTTTCTTATCCTTGCTCAAGAACCTTAACTTCCGTCATTTTTGTATGCAAATGTCGCCCGTTGAATGGCCAGTGTCGATTTTCTATTAATTATTTCTCGGTGCTTTTGTTCAAAGGAGCAATTATGAACTCACTTTGAATAGGAAATTTTCTATAAAACCTGGCGTGCAAGGATGTAAGACGCCCTAAAATCAGTCACCGAGTGAGAGGTAATTGGAGCACAGAGCTCCTTTATAAGTTGTGCTTTCTGATGTTCATCTCATATCGTTGATTTATTAGCTAGCCACTAAGCAGAACTTTCTATTTTCTTCTCCTTGTAGGCACAAGAGCTACAGTACTGTACAATTAAGACCTCGAATTTTCTCGTCATTAAAGGTAAGTAAAATTTGAATTGTATTTGCGTCTATGACATGAGCTGTTCGTGACTCATTTCAGAAAACACATTGATATTGAATGATAGCGCTGAAAATGACTGTCCGTATCCACAAGTTATTCCTGAAACCCCGATTTTTTTTATATCTTTTAATCGTATACAGAACCGAATGTGGCTCCACGCGTCTTTCACGTCAATTTAAACCGAAATTTCCTCGAATGCGTTTCAATCTTACTTACTTTTATATAAATGTCGTACAGTGCATATTAGATTTTAACAAAGCCTCGGGCTAGAGTCTTTGAACATATTCAAATAAACAATTGAGTACAACTTCAACATCAGTTTTGCAGTTCGCATGGTAAGCTGTTTTAAAACTGGCTTTAGGTAAAATGATGGTTTCTCGCTCCCAATCTTCCTCTCTCTCTCTCTATCTTTCTTTCCTTAAAAACAATGATGCGAGGAAAATGTTCATATAAATAATTTGAGACCTTTAATTGGATCTTCCTCGTGGTTTTGCTAATCAATACCTATCAGCACTCACGAAAGTCTGTTTTAAAGTAGACCATCCATATTCGAATTGGTCCTTGCTTTAACTTGTGGGCTGCTATAGGCGTTTTTCTCAGTCTTTCCGGTTAAAATGTACAAGGAGAAAGTGGACATAATTTTCAAGCGTTCTCTTACTGGAACATGAAAAGTGACCTTCATTAATACATTTTGGATCTTGATATCCACTGAGGTCGGCTTTCATTCTTGTTCCACACCAAAATTACTTTTAAGTTCTAAATATTTCAAAATATTTCATCTGTTTAAAGAAGATCGATGTAGTTCTTTTTAATTCCTCCAAATTGCATGTGTATTAAAAAATGACTAACGAGCTTTTACTTGCTTTTCAACACAGTCTACAATATAAACAAGTTCCCACTTCATGAGAGAAAAGTCATCAGTTGTGCAAATAGGAAACTTTTTCCTCCGACAAAATTCAACAGCAGATTCTACCAACTGAATCTTATTGTTCTTTTACGCTTTGGTGAAACTTATCGCGGGCCCTGTTAGGGCTTTTTTTTACAAGAGAGGGATATGGGAAGACATTTTTCAGGATTACGAGCTTTAGTGATTAAATTCAACCAAGCGATCTCTTGATTCATCCCCGTATTTGTAAGAATCTGATGTACCGAGCAGCATTTTCCGATTGAAAATTAACGATTGAACTGTTTTGAAGTCACGTTCGAATTTTAAATCCAATCATCAGCTTGACGAAAAAATTTTAAAACCAGCAAGTTACGTACCAGGTTGATGTATTTGTTTGTTGAAAACCAAGCTTTTATTGGTCTCTCACGGTTATGACTGACATTTCGAGATGAAACAAATTCCACATTTAGCCTCCCAGCTGTGTCCGTCACTTTGTTAAGGAATAAAAAACAAAGTGCTCTATAGTTTCGTTCGTATTAATCCTTCACTGGCTTTTCTGTCAAATTTCGATCCGTCAATGTTTTGCTCTATTGGTAGTTCAAGGTTTGCGCGTTTGTTTGAGTATTTTATCAGAGAAATTTTTGTTTAAAACTGTAGTAACGTTATCACTGTGCAGGAAATATATCTTTTTAGTTCAAGTCATTTGCCGCGATTTATTTTTACATTCGATTTGTTAGTAGATTCTTGTTCTGTTGAGGAAATACTTGTCTTATTGACCAGAGCTTAGTACTTGCCAAGTCAATTTCTGATCGGTTTTTCACCACTGACCTGACCTTTTGGTACAGGATCGTACGAAGCCTAATTGAGGATACAAGTTGTATCACACATTGTTATTTTTCCCATTCGGCGCTGCTAAGTGTGATATTGATAAAATACAATGAGAAAGAAAAATCACTTGAAACTGCTTGATTGAAAAAAAAAACAGTTTTTCCTGATAAAAATCATTTCTTTCCTTATACATCTGATGCCAATAAGGGTTTTATTCTTACCTGGAAGGTTTTTCTTATTCATGAAGACATCAAATAGATAGATTTTGGATATAGGGACTAAAAGATATATTTCTCGAGGGACAAGTAATGAAAAGCTACACATCCAAGTGATAATAATCCAATTCATGTATCCATTATATTTCAGATGAAATCCGAAACAATTCTTTTGGTGATGGCGTTTTTAGTGGCGGCTGCTACCTTATCATCAGCGGATGATTGTTTAGACTGCACCACTACTTTCACCATGTGTTTTGATGCGTGCCAAAATCCGACCATTTGCTCTCAGTGCATCGATGCGAAAGACGACTGTCAGAGTACATATTGCGGTAAAAAAAGAAGCTTTCGACCAAGACTTCGTTCCTTCAATGACTTTATGAAACAAAAGCGAGTTTAAGAGATACCAAAATTAAGAAGAGTACCTTCAAAAGAATCGCCCATATAGTACTGAAATCATTGTATTAGAATACTTGGAGTAGTAAGAGTATCTACTATTGTAACCCTACTCCATTCATTTAGAAAGTTGTAAAAAAAAAAACTATCCACTCTCTCACAACTGTTGTAGCACTCTTCTTTCTGATGCCTTTTCTGGTAAGTCAAACGACGGAAGAAAAATCTCTCTGGGAGGGAGGCTTGTCGTTCAGGGCTTGTCTCACCTTTAGCGCCTGTAAAACCCCTTTTTTTGTTGTTTTATTTTTTGGTTTGCCTTGTATGGGGGTGGGGGTTCCTTTTCAGTTTTTTTCCCCTTTTTTTCAGTGCAGTCTCAAAACAGTGCACCCGAGTCGGATACACTGTTTTTAGAGTACACCTTTAACTGCTCTTTAGCATAAGCAATGCAATAAATTCAATGGCATTAAAAGACAAGTATCTATATCATTTGACATTTATTATGATAATCAACTTCATTATAAGTGAATGTATAAACAATTCGGTACGGTTTCGCATGAAGAGCCACATTCAATTGCAATCATGCGTAGACACAACTGTCTTCATAAACGCGTTAGATGGACGCCATGATAAATCTTCATTTGGAACATTCCCTGCCCATACATGATATATTGTGCCCGGTTAGAAACCATATCAAGATTCGGGTGAGAAGAGAAATAAGTAATTTTAAATTGACATACCTTGGCAATAATTTTTGAAAATGATCTACAAACGAACAGCACATCCGTAGACACAAACTTTTCGCGCAGTACCCTTCCCATTCCGATTGAGTTACACTACTGGAGATAAAGCAACCACGCAGCTTAAAGAGGTTTCGTTTCTTTGTGCTATTTTGACAATCTTAGGATGGAGAATTGTTATTTGCGGAGTCGAGGCTAACATTTGATCGGTTCACACTGTGCAGTAAGTAATCAGTTTGTGCAGCTCGGCTAGAAGGAGAGTGATACTTAAAATTAACAAACCGTGGAGCGAATTTTGAAAAGCTGACGTTTGGGGTGTTAGTCCTTGATTAGGGCCTTTCGTGCCTGTGTCACTTTTCGAGATTCGCCGAGGTGATTTATCTTCATTTATCTACTTCAGTTGATAATCAACCAGGTATTTAACTCGCCCTCTGAAGTGGTATGACTTTTCCCCAGAGCCTCATAACCGCCGCGTTCATCGGAAAAAAGCCTCTAGAAGAAATGGCTGTCTTGGGGAGGAGAATTTCATACCATTGTTCCCTGCACGTTTCAAAAATCAACTACGGTAGATTTCTATTTATCTTGCATCACCACGATAGGGTAGAGAATGTTAAACTTAAGTAATGGCCCAAGCTACGAATTTGACAAATTAAAGACAATTCGCCTGTACACCATAGATGACATCAAAACACCATCGACGTACGATGTGATCTATAATTATATAACTAGGCAGTCATAGGGAAAAGTTTATAAGTACAGCTAATTCTTGATATGACGCAATCTCGATTTTTTTTTTGTCTGTGGCTGCAAAATCGAAGCAGAGCGTAGGCCTACGTTCTAGTCTTTGAGAAAATCTACGTAGCTGATTTAAGCCCTTTCATTAAAACATGATGAAATTGATCGAGGTTCGTTTGGCACTGCCTCAGTTGTGATGAATCTGGTATCAATTTACGTAAGATGTCCATTTCAAGTGCCCGAACAGAAAAAAAGTAAAAAAGCTTTCCTGCAATACTATAGCTGCATTAAGTAATTCCAACCATCAAGTGGGCTTTCTTTGAAGAAACTGTCGGAAATCAGCCAACTGAAGTGCCTGTAAATTAGTGTTCTATTTAAAGATGTGACATCTTTCTTTTTTTCGGTAATTTTTCTTTGAGTTTATTATGAGACTTTGGCCCGGAGCCTACCGAAAGCAAGCACACTCGATGTTTACTAAAGAATTGGTTAATGCTTAGCGTATAAATATCGAGTTATGGGACGAAGACAACTCGAGTCGAGAATTAGATGATTTCATCGCCGCCGAAAGCTCGTCAAACACAGTGAAAAAGACGAAATACGAGTGGATAAAGTTTGAAGGGTTTTGCGAACGGCAGATTTCGATAGCAGTTTTAATGAAATGAACATACCTGCTGCTACTCTCGACAAGCTCCTTGGAAAGTTCTTTAAAGATGTCCGCATGTAAAATAGCGGCGGGTACGTGCCGGAAAGTATTTCAAGCTTTCAAAAAGCAAACTCAAGTTATCTTTGTCTTGTTCGTCTTCCTCTATATGCCGCTTGTCTTCCTCCAATAGCTCTGCTGAGCAGGCTCAGCTCCCAAGCAATGCCATGCTTAGGGTTAGGGCGTACTTAGGATTTGACTCGCGTCAATCATGCTTTGGTGAAACTTATCGCGGGCCTTGTTAGGTCTTTTTCTATAAGGGAGGGATATGGGATATGATTAAATTCAACCCAAGCAATCTCTTTATTCATCCCCGTATTTGTAAGAATCTGATGCACCGAGTAGCATTTTCCGGTTGAAAATGAACTAATGAACTGTTCTGAAGTCACGTTCGAATTTTTCATCCATTCATCAGCTTAACGTAAAAATTTTAAACCAGCAAGTTACGTACCAGGTTGATGTATTTGTTTGTTGAAAACCAAGCTTTTTTTGGTCTCTCACGGTTATGACTGACATTTCGAGATGAAACAAATTCCACATTTAGCCTCCCAGCTGTGTCTGTCACTTTGTTAAGAAATAAAAAACAAAGTGCTCTGTAGTTTCATTCGTATTAATCCTCCACTGGCTGTTCTGTCAAATTTCGATCCGTCAATGTTTTGCTCTATTGGTAGTTCAAGGTTTGCGCGTTTGTTTGAGTACTTCATCAGGGAAATTTCTTTAAAACTGTAGTAACGTTATCATTGTGCAGGAAATATATCTTTTTAGTTCAAGTCATTTGCCGTGATTTATTTTTACGTTCGATTTGTTAGTAGTAGTGAAATGTTTTCCCCCTCTATTTGAACCAAGCAATAATATCGATTTAGCTAAGCCTAAAAGCGGAGCTCGCATTTTTTTTCCCGCACCTCTTAGTGGCGTTGGCGTGCCCGCGGCACAGTTGACCACGCATGTTAAAAGTAGCACCTTGTACGAACGCCCGTACGGTGTCAAGTCCAAATTTTTTCGGCTTGATTGGTTACTCGATAGCTCACTCGTGAATTATCGAGTTAAATACCAAGTATACCGAAATACTTGGTCTTTACCGACAGAAAATCTTTCAGGTACACGGTCAAAATCGGCCCATGGCAAATCTTCCAGTTGTCGATTTTCGTTCTCAGCCGTGGGAAATACTATTACCAAAGCCACTGAATATGTAACTTTCGGTTTTTCTTTCCGTCTTTTGTTTTTCTTCTCCTTCTAGGAAAGTTTGAACGTAAGCGATACGGATTTTTCAGTGTTGTAGCAGCCATAATCCGATAAAAAATTCCGACAAACGACCTTGGATTGCGAATGGTGAGGGCTTTGCTGTTCATTCATCAAGCAGACCGTGAGGCGCGAAAGGCGAGTGATGTGTCAACAGCTAAATACGATATTCCTTCACGTGTGTTGTCACGGCTTTTCGCAACTCCTCAATACTTTAACTCCATTTATACCAATGGGCAATGTAATCAAATTAAACAATTCCTTGAAAACCACTTTCCACATTGTCGGTATTCTACTTAGGGCAAGAACGAGAAAATTCTAAGAACCTCACCGTACCCAGTAGGATACTGTGGGGTAGCGGCCTTGGTAACGCGAAGTATTGCAATAGCAACTACACCTTTTCACAACCACAACAAGGTTTATTTTCTATAACAGTTTCACGTGACAGTCACTTATAAATCAGTTATAATGCTTGTGATTTCATCGAATGATCATTTATTATTATTATTATTATTAACATTGTAAATTATCCATAATTGCAAATGCTGTAATTAAACAGAGAAGAGCCATCCCGTGGATCTGTTAAATAAACCATTGTTATCATCATTATTATTATTGTTATTATTATATTTGGTGAAATCGCAAGATATGCTCAATGCAGTTTCATATTATAAGAGAAAGTCGCAGACCGGGTATGATTCAGAGACATATAACGTCAAATTAAAGAGTGTTTCAAAGAGGCTATACCGTTCTGAAGGTGAACTTTTATTCCAGAGGAAATGGCAAAAGTTTGTTATGGCTAACTGGCATTTTTTTCAAATCAATTTTAAGGAAGTCAAAACAAACCTGGTGGGGGCTATTAAGTAAATATATCTCATAAGACGTTTTCGTGTGTAGTAGTATCCCAGAGTATCTTTACGAGTTCTGCTGTATTTTGACGAGCCCGCAGGGCGAGTCCAAATACAAACAACGAGCAAACATGCTCAGAGATAGTCCACACCAAAACGTCTAATAAGTTATTTATTATCCAACTTCTTCAGTTTTTATGCACTTTTTCAAAAGCGGGAAAAGTGAAGCAAACGGCGCAGTGGTTTGTGACAGGTCTTGCGCAATGCTCGCGTCGAATTGGTTCATGAGACGTCAACTTGTCACTTAAGGTTTCAAAACGATTCAAGATTGACTTTTATTTTCGATCGTTATTTCAAATGCTACACATTTGAAACTACTACAAGTACCGAAGTGTTTTTCTATCAATGAAAAGTGATGAATAATTTATCGCCAGTAAGAAAGCTTTAAAACTACAGGGAGACAAACTCTCAAAGACATGGATGAGCTCTAAGTACATAAAAAAGAATTTCCCAAAGCTATATTTCATTTCTATCACCCGACTCAATCACATGGCGACGACGCTTCGCAAGAATTGCTGGAGGAGCTGAAGGCTGTGAACTAAGAACAATGAAACAGTTGTTAAATACGGCACAGAGAAGGCAAGTGTAAGTAACTGTCCAAATAACCGTACAATATCGCAGGATATTTGTACTCTATTCGCGTGTTATTTATACTCTACTTTGTGCAGTTGGACAATGACTAGATTTTATTAATATTATGAAACCTAGTGCAATAGCGGGACTGTTAACGTTGAAAATTACGAAAAAAACAACTTCCGACTTCTCACACGCTAAAAAAAGGAAAAAACAGACAAGTTTCCACAATTGTGTCGATGTTATTGTTGTCTGAGGGATTTCATCTCAGAGTATCCAGCTGCAAGACCACTGCCTTCATAGCTACTGCTTAACGTTTAAGCCATCGACTATCATTTAATGGATGAATAGAAGAAATTAGCTTGTTTGAAAATGCAACAATAACAAACTCATCACCTATCGGCTCCAGTATGGATACAGCGGGAGCCAGGTTATTATATTTCGAGTCAATCCAGATGTGTACAAACATTCGCACAAGGACGAGGTGAGAAAGAGGAAAGACTGCCACCAACTTTGTGTGAACAGACATCCTACTATGAACAGGCTAAAATAGCGCGCAAATCAAATCCAAAAGCTCGCACAAATCTGACGACTTTCCGCGCGATAGTTGAACCGTTATACTAACGCATTTACAATTGCGCGCTGAACTTGAACTTCAATAAAAAGGCATGTTTAAGAAACTGCAATTTGTGTTGCTGTTAGCCTTATAGCTTTTAACGGCAAAACATGGCAATGCGACGTAGAGAAGAGATGGGAAAACTACAGCAGGAACAAAGGCTTCGGAAATCGGAAAGTTGTGTCTCAGGTAATAACGTGAAACATCAACACTCAGATGAGCCTTACGCATATGACACCGATATGCGTGAAGATAGCAGCAGGTATGTTCAAATAACTGTATAGAGGAAGAAAATATCTCCTTTTTGGGTTATTTTCAGAATTTGAACGCCCGTGTGTAACACAAGTCACTTAGATGTCTTCGTGCGAGTTGGTCACAAGGAACAAAGCGAGGAGCAACAGGGTGGAGACATTTCGCTCCCTCCCACCTCCTCACACACAGCGTTTGCGATTTTATTTGGGCACACCTGTATGTTAACAGTCCTTTTTTTTTTTATTAAAACGAACATGCGTTTTATTGTAGAGGCTCTTGTTCTTAAGTTAACCCACCAGCAGACCACAAAAGTTCACTATCAGCAATTCAAGTGCTACTTCCAATTTTTCTAGCTCACGTCCAGTCTCCATCTACGACTTTAAACAATTCTTCTGGTCTTATCCTATAGGGAAAATGAAGATGACTGGCTTATGCAGACATTATATGGATGCAATTATGAGTTACATTATGAACATGACACCTGCATACATAGCTGGGAACACAACACACAGACTCAGAAAGAGGAAAGCATTATACTGGAGGGAACCAAGTTAACTGAGGGAATAGTTGAAGAGGGTAAACTGAGTGATACCAAAACCCAGACAAGAGAGGAGCGAATAAAGAGTCTGAAAGCTCTCCTTTGCAAGCACAAGGAAGATATTGAGAAGTTATGGCCCGATGCAAACAACGACAAGCAGAAAAAATGTTCGGTGATTGCCAGAAATAGGAAAATGATTGCAACAAGAAGCAATGTCTTCACTGAAGCAAAGGATTACTCCATAAAAAGAAGAATTTGTAGAAGAAAAAGAAAGAGAGCTGAGCCTCATACAAGTGGGGTAGTTAATACCAGAGATGTTGATATTTTGATGAGTAAAGGAAACCTTATGACTAAGGATGAGTTCCTAGCTGTGCTAGGCCTGGTCCGAGTCACAAAACTTTATTCATTATGACTAACTTCAACCTATTCATTTATTTATATTTAATCTGACTGAAGAACTTGGCTTTACAGAAAATAGATTGTCTAGCTAGTGCATAATGGTGAGGAGTTTATCCACTTCAATAAAGGTTTTATGGCTATTTCAAATCATTTTCAGAAATAAAATTAACAACATAGATTTCTCTCCTGTTATGGTAAGGCTTTTTTTATTAATAAAGTGCTTTGAGGGCCATTCTTAATCATTTTCAATCAGCTGTTAAATTGAATTCAAACCATTCGCATATCATTATAGACTTAAATACATCATGATCAATACGTAAGAAAAGTCAATATCATCATGACAACTGAAACACATGCATACCAAAAAAAAAACTTCAAAACAATTAAATTTTATGTGATTCAGATGTCATTCATTGAAGGTATTTTTATACACATAGTAAACTGTAGTATATGATATATAAAATGTCAACTCTACTGAAAAAGATACGTTTTATTTGAAATGAAATGGAAGGAAAATTTTCAAATAATTCAATATCTAAAACATTTTAGTTATGATTAATCTACACAATTTCCACATTATGTTACCCTAGAATTTTCCATGTTACCTACTGATGTGCTTGTCTGTATATAAGGCCTGTTTTTTCCCTTGCAAACATCAATCAATGTGAAAATAATGTGAATATGTGACTTAATGGCCATGCGCGATGCTCCTGACTAATCCTGTTTCAGTGACAAATACTGGTATGGACCCCTTTGCATGACTTTGCAAGGTGGATATATTGGACCCAGTTTGAATCACCACAAAGGGTAATCGAATTATGCTTTCAAATTTTGACATATCATTTACATTAAAACAGTAGTAAAAGCTCATCAGTTACCATCCAGTTGTTACTAGGATCCCTTTTCTATTTCTTTCTAGTTGGTTTAATTTTATTGGATTTTCTCAAATTGTCTGGGCGCTAGGCTTTACTTGACTGCTTTAAAAATCTTAGCCAAAAGAATAGCACATACAGTATTGTCCAATTTTTCATTATCTGCCTTCTTAAAAATTAACATATACCAAATTACATAATGTAGAGGTTTAAGGATAAGTAGACTATGTGCTTGCATTAGAAAATTAATTTGTCTGTTGATTGATACAAAAACTCACAATTCATTTATCTACAGAAATGGTACCTTTAGTGTATGCAAGGGTGTCAAATCCAGTTGCTCTACAGTTCCATGCAAACTTAAATGAATTACCTGTGAATTACAGGGAAAATAATAGTTTTCAAACTACATTGTTTTCAAAACATATGGCTGTATACCCAAATATTTTTGTCATCTAAAGATAGAACTGGCAGTTATTGGCAGATCATTAATTTGATTGACAGGTCAATTGTGAACTGAGCAATCAGAGCTATGAATCCATAGATAGTGAAGTTTTCAATAGAAACAATGGCAAACTTCAAAACAGCAAACTTAAATTACAGTTTTTACCCTTTGGTTCTTTTATGTCTTTAAAATAGCTATTTCTATTAGAAAAAAAAACATTCAATCAATATTTTATGTCTACTCAATCATGTGAGTTTCACAGCAAGCTAACAGCTGCTCCATATGTGGCCCTGTAGAAAGACAGTACTTTGTCATGAAATTAATGTTTTGCTGCCAACCTTATGACATAGAGGTTCCTTTCTCTTTGTGTCTGGGTACTAACACGAATACAAAAAGACAAAAAGATCTTTCATATTGGTTTCTGTTAAATGAGTTCAAGACTCAACGAGAATTCCCTTGTGAAAAAGTCAGAAAGAGGGTTCCCATATACTATTTTGTAAAACTCAGTCACATTAAGATATTTGGCCCTTTTGCGCATCACAGATGATATCATTTGAGACTTTTCTTAAAAATAACAACCAGGATTCACAAACTTCAGAAATTTAATTTTTTCTTTGTCTAGTCTTGACCAGTCTTATGAGACAAATGGTGACATGATGTCTCATCTTATTTGTTCAAAGACCATAGGTTAAGTCTATTTTATGACTTTTATCGATCTATATGAAGTTCATATCCTGTCAAAACGCTTGTAAATTCTTACATTTTCAAAACCATTATAAAGCCGCGAATTCGTCACGCAAAACAAAATGGTTCCCGGATCCCGTGTAATTCAGTTCTTCATTTACGAGTCACATTTGAGTAAAACAAGTTCACTTCGACGCGGAAAGATCTTACAATCTTTAATCACGATTCACGAATGAGGAAAAAAATTAAATTATGATTCACGGGGAAAAAAAATCGTCCAATCACGTTTCATCTAAAAAGTATAGGGGACGGGGCGGAAGGAGGTTCCGGTACATCCCGATACAAATTTTTATTTTATTTAATGTAATTTCGCATAAGACGAGGTATGTTGCTGCGATGGCCGAGTGGTTAAGGCGTTGGACTCGAAATCCAATGGGATCTTCCCGCGCAGGTTCGAATCCTGCTCGCAGCGGGTTTACCTTTTATTTTGTACACAAAGTCTTACGTCTTTACGTCAAAGTTTTAATACGTACGATGAGAGGGATTTTTGCTCAATTTCAGAAAAAGATGCTGTAAATGCTGCTTTTTTTTAAGCTGTGTTCTTTGCAAAATTTAACCTAGTGCCCACGGACCGCACAGGTATCCAAACGCGAAACCCAGTTAAGTGCTAAAAAATTCTTCTGTATTAACCATGAAAAGTTGACAATACGAGATAATTGTGTAAATTATATTTGTGTAAAAACTATATGGGGGGAAAAAAAGGATGACTAATGCTTTGAGCAAAATAATCCTGCGTTGGCCGGGAATCGAACCCGGGTCAACTGCTTGGAAGGCAGCTATGCTCACCACTATACCACCAACGCGCTTATAATAAGAGGAGGGTTAATTTGTTTAATTATTATATGGTACAAAAGCCCGCCTCCGACATAATAGAAATTCGGGAGCAAAACGCTTTTCAACATGCTATCTTATTTCTGAAACAATCCAGTTACATTGACATTGACATATTATTGTTAGATTATGACTAGCGCGCTCATTGGGATTAGTTCATGAGTACAAGTGTACGTTCGTAGCTTGTATATAGAGCCTGCATACTTTCAACAGTATTTCGTCACAAAAGAGATTGCACAAACCACATTACAATCATACTGACATGTTGAACTGTGATGATAATTACCTACCATCTTCAGTTGTAAGATAAATGATCCAAACAATGTTGCAATAGGATAGATAATAGATAAAAAAAAGAATGGAAATTAGATAGTTATGATGTGAAATACGTTAAAAAGGAAGGTGATACCAAAAAAATATTCCAGTGGAAACTAAAACAGGAAAAAAAAACCCCGAAATGACAATATTTAATTTACATATTAAATCGAGGTTCACATGGTTGATTGAAGAACATAAAAGACCATGAAAGCAATCTCTAGGAAAGGGAACCATTTTCGAAACTCATGGGGCGTTGAAGAGTGTTTGCGCAAAAAGATAGATATTCGCGAACGTAGGCAAGTTGTGTTTTGAGGTCTTTTGATGTCACCAACATAGGGATAACAAGAACTGCGGCTTCAGCGAGTGAAGTCAAGACTTTTCAAGAATATCAGCTTGTCTTTTGTGCTGCCGAAAGCTCCATTGACTGAGTTACAGTAAACGCCTTGGAGAGTATGCCACAGACACGGTTCTCATTCGGCAAACTTCTTACAGAGATGCCATTGCAAACTTTCGAGGAATGTGAATTTATACAGACTCAACAAGTTCGTACAGGCCTTGTGTCGGAATAGGCGGTAGAGTTCGCATTTCTGTTTTTAATTTTCAATTAATTTAATTTTTGTTGTTGTTTTTTTGCTTCTTTTGTATTCCATTTGAATTTGTTTACAATTCTTGAGATGAAAATATACTAGAGCAGCTTATATGAATAAATTTACATTCAAAACAGTGAGCGGGGTATAAAAGGCAGAAGCCCACTTCTAGCAGTTTTTCTTTTATTTTATCTCTTTTTTGTTCAGTATTTCCGCTAATTGAGGCCCTAATTTGAAGCTCTTCGATAATGTTTTAAATTCTGGCTTGCGCATTGCTCCCATACCGTTATAAACTACCCAGGATATTAGGTTGCAACTCAGTTGGTATTACACTGAGCTATCCCTCAATCAATATCATTTCAGGCTGAGAATACTAACTATGTTTCTCCGTTTCTCCGATAGATAGCAGAGATAGGATCGGTTATTAACAAACTGAATATCACGGCATACGTAATCAGTTCATGTCATCTAACCCAGGACCTTCAGTATAAATACTTGGAATTTGACTTAACTGTATCTGTAACTACTTTTCCTTACGCAAAGCATCGTTCTATTTTTATTAAAGTAAATAGGAAAAATTATAGTATTATATTTTATTGTAGTAATGCTTTATCCCTAACCAAAGTTCATCAGACGAGAACGATTTAGAATTCTTTATTGAACCCGACGACCGATAAAACCCTATTGAGGAACTTGTTTACTAGCACCTGCGCTAAGCAAACATTTATCTCGGCCAATCCGTAAACACGGTGCTGGCTCTGTCCGTTTGTATTATCTATCCGGCACATCCAACAGATCACCTAGCGACAGGGGCGGTGGAAGCGAACCATAAGTTATGAACTGAACGGTTTTGTCAAAGCTCTCGTATTTCAAACCACCGTCTAGTTTCATCTGCCTTGAAAAGTCATCTTCCAGCCTTCTGTGGCGATGCATTACAGGTTCTGGATAGTACGTTCTTTCACGCAGTTCAATGTCTAAATATTTTTCAAGCGATAGAAGTTCTTGCCGTTCTTTTTCAAGCATTTCTAGTATTTCATCCATCTCGGCCAAAAGCTGTAGCTCTTCACTAGATAATGACGAATCTTCCATAAACGATTTTATATCGGAGCTTGTAAAGCTTTTAATGTCTGTTTGCAGGATTTGTTCTAATTCTGACACACGTCTGCTGAGAATAACCCTACCAATTTGTAGTCGTTCGTGTTGTCGCTTTATTTCCGAAAGTTCCTTAAGGAATATATCATGCATTTCGTCCATCTTAGAATCGAAACCTTCCATTTCTTCTTTATTGGAGAATTTAACTCCATGAGAAACAAGCTGACAATCAATCACATCGTCAGTTTTTCGTTCCGCGCCCAGAAATTCCCTCCTTGCACCTTTCAGCTCCACTTGTCGGTCGCTGATATCATTTTTTGTTTTCTGCGATTTGCAAGAGTTCAACTTCTCTTCTTTCTGAACCCACAAACCGTTGAATAAAAGTAACCAAAACTGCTTGAATCTATAGCAAAGAGACATATCGTAGACTCCTAACCTCTCGCGTCGCTCGCACAGGAAGTGTCATAGTAGCAAAGAGAGTTTATATTCAAGCTGTTCTTCTTTAGGATGTTCTTGCCAGGCGGGCTTCGTAAGGTAGCACGTCTTCTCGTGCATCTGTCCGTTCTTCTTGCTCTTAGGGTGGTAGAACCCCCGAATGGGCTAAAACATTCTTCTTTTCCCAAGGTCGACCTCCTAAAGTTAGGAGAGTCGCCCTAAAACGCAAACAAAAATACCCGTCAAACCACTTCTCTTGTCTTCCACCCACGCGTCGCAGACAGAACAGGTGATTCGGTGGTTTTTCCCTGTGAGCGTCGCCTGTGATGAGCTGTGTTGGTTTATTAAACTAGCCAATCAAATTACAGCATATCACTCAGGTACCTGTTAATTCTACGCTCATTATCTTTATAAACACATGACTTGAAATTCTCAGTTCTACAGTTCCCAACGACGATATTAAAACAGAGCCAAGTACAAGTATCATTATAAAAAAAATTCTAGTTTTGCAATAAAAGCATAAGAGCCGTCGAAGATTGAGTTTTTTTTCCGAAACGCCCTTGAATATTGTTTCTCGCTGTCTGGAATGGGAGACATTTTACATCTAAACGCCAAGAAAACGGGTTCTTTGTTTTAAATAAAGCTTGTCAAATTGACTATCCTATCATGAAAAGTGTTCTGTTGTCAAGAATACTTAGACGTGTAGTATTCTTAGGACTCTATGATCTAGTCAAGAAAACTCATGGTGGAAAGGGTAACGCCCATATAACAAGGTGTATCACTTTCACTGGAATTGTAGGATTGACATATTGTGATGCTCACTTCTTAGTCCCCTTCAAGTGGTGAATAGACAGAAAAAGGAGGATACAAGGAAACCAGGGTTTAATTTGAGTAAAAAGATAAAAAGTGAAATTCGATGATAATAAATTCGAATTTGAAACTCCGCGTAAAAGCTCTGTAAAGTGTTCTTGACTTTAATTATATTCCTTTCCTTTAGTTCGTCCTATTGGTGTAAAACTGGAAACACCAATGACCTGATCTTTTTATTGTCATGTACTGATACCGTTACCGTCTGATCTTGTCACTTGCTGGTTCTAAAGCCTGAGTGAATGGTAATAGCGGGTTACTGATGGCAGCGGGGGTCAGTAGTGTGTTATGCTGAAATTACTGACTACCGAGAATTCAAAGTCTTCTCCATCTTTTTAAACGCCTTGTAGCTCAGTATATACCATAAACAGGCATAACTTTTGCTTTCAACAATCTTATAAGTTGTGAGCTGTTTGCAATACAGTTGCCTTGAGGAACTGAAAATCTCTTTTTTCAGATTTTCTCATGCCAAAGTGGTAACTAGCTTCTTATGGAGTTCGGCTGATAATATTTCGAACTTTTCATCAAACATTTCACCAACATAGCATTGTCTATGCTGTCCACACAACATTATGATAACAAATATTAATCTCTTAAACAACCCAAGAACTCCTCCACTTCGAGCAAAACCCATTTGCTGGAGGGTCTCTGTTTATCGACTATTCTGAGCCTGTAATCTTTTACCTCAGCGGCTCTTCGGAGTTTGTAACTGATCGAATTTGGAACAAATGATCCATGAGACCTACACCTGTTGTTTTTCATTAAATCATTTTCATAACCTGCTCTTAGATTCAATAGCGCTTTGAATCACGTTCGTACAACGATTGCCTGAGCCAAGTACAAGGCTCAGGTTAATTTTAGTTGATTTCTACAGAGTTTAATAAGGAAAGAAGTGCATGACCAGGCATCTCAGTAACCATGGCGGACTAAGGATTTACTTGACGGGAGATGTTTTTCAAATTGTTTATCTGACAAATGGTATCCCGTGATCGTTGAAGACAAACAAGACAGCTATCTAAACAAACTATTAGTTGTTGAAGAAATTATCGCATCTCACGCCACACAGAAATTAAACGAGATGCGGTATCCGTGAGCAGGGCTTTGAAAGGAAAACCACATCACTTGTTAATCTTATCAAGATTTTGAGACTATAGATTTACACCCAGGTCAGCAACTTCTATTAAGATACTCTTCTGGACGGGAGATATTTATTTTTAAAGTCAACAATTCGCCCAGGTGGGAGCTCAATTCCTCCAAAGAAGCTCTTGAATGAAATTAACTTCTATTTGAAATTTTCAAATTGATCAACTTGCTTGGGAGACACGTGGTAAACAAGTAACTGGTATTACAAGGTGCTCGGGTGCAGTGGTGGCTGTTACATGGTGAAAAGAAAATGAAAGAAAACAGCAAGGAAACGGAAATTACGTTAGAGAAAAGTGCAGACTTTCCAGACTCTCCAGACACCAAACCAGACACTCAACCGGGTGAAGACAAACTTGTCTCGTCATTTGCAACTTTTTGGAACATTTGCAACACGATTCAAGGTTTACCAATCTTGGTCATACCTTACGCCGTTAGAAATGGTGGCTACTTAGCAATACTTACTCTTTTGTTAGTCGCCGCTACCTCTAATTACACTGGAAAAACAATTGTTCGGTGCCTCTATGAAATAGATCTAAAGAGCGGTAAACGAAAAAGGGTTCGCAATTCCTACGCAGATGTCGGCGACGCTTTTTTGCCGAACTTAGGAGGTCATCTTGTCCTTGCTACTCAGTTTATAGAGTTGCTGTTTGTAGCTTCATTTTATCCTCTATTAGTTGGACGATTACTGGCCAAATCGTTTCTCCATGTTGCTGTTCCTTGCTGGCTCTGGACACTCATTGGCGGTATAATTTTCGTTCCAAATATTTTTCTCAAAAACCTTTCTCAAGTGGCATGGACCAGCATCTTGACGGTACTTTCTGCCAAAATTGTCTTCATTACAGTGTTTGCGTACAGCTTATTTCGGTTTCACAAATGGGAGCTAAATTCTTTAACACATTTTGACGCCAGTACATTTCCTTCAGCTTTAGGAATCCTTGTAGCGAGTTATCTGTCGCAGCCCTTTGTATCACTCATCGAAGGCAGCATGCGCTACAAAGACAAATTCAATTTGTTGATGAACGTTGCTTACGGAGTAATGACATTGCTCAATGTTATCATTGGAGTAGTTGCTTACATCTCATTTCATCCCAACACAGCTGAAGTCATAACAAACAACCTACCAGAAGGTTCATTCCGTCGAGCAGTAAATGTAATGGCAGCTGTGTTGTCTTTCACGTCTTATACATTACCAATGTTTACTCTATTTAACATTGTTGAAAAATCTAACCTTCCATGTTTACCAGAGGATCTCGATAAATCCATTTTGAAGCCATCCGTTATCTTCCTTCGTTTGTCAATGGTATCTACGAGTGTAATTTTCGCTGCTACTTTTCCTGCCTACACCTATTTATTAGCATTTGTAGGCAGTATTGCTGGCATCAGTTTGGAGTTCATATTCCCACCTTTGTTTCACCTAAAGATGTACTGCCATGACATGACATGGGGTAACATTATTTTAGACGCAGTTGTTCTTGTTGTGGGTATTTCTGTGTCAGTGACCGGAGCGTTCTTTTCTGGGCGTTCAATGATTAGTACTTACAGTCAACCAATAATAGATCACTGCTTGTGACACTTGGATCCTGGCCTCTCGATAACCCAAGATAAGTTTAAATCAATAACAGTAATGCTGGGGGGAGGGGGGGGGGACGTATGAAAGAGGCACTTAAAACAAAACATTTCATCTCCTCTTGTGGATCCAAAGGAAAAACTATACTGGCATGTTTGTGTCCATTCGTAGTTCCTTAGTTTCGTAATTAAATAGTTTCTAGTTACATGTATCACTTTTGATTTGGGATTTGTTCCAGAGATTTTTTTTTCCATCAAATGGTGCGTTTTTGCAAGAAGAGTTTTTTCGAAACAACGAAATTTGATAATTATCCAAATTAATAAATTTAAATTCAAAGAAATAAAGGATTTGCAAGTCGCTGGGTTGTTGTTCTACGAGCTCTCCTCAAAACCGCTGAGATCAGCGTCAATTGCTAACCAAAGATTCCCTACAGACAAAAGATTGACATCTCTGATAGAAACAAACATAATTTTCTGAATGCGTCAATCAGAAGCTTTAGATAGCTTTTCCACTCAAAGCAGCGTCAAAAGAAGACTTGAGCCGAATTGAGACCGTGAATTTCTGTCTTCTTCAAAGCGTCACAAAATCTGCTGCTATGATTATGATTTAGGGAAATAGCGTACTTTCAAACAAGTAATTCTGGCTCCAAGGAAAGCTTCTGCTATAAAGCTGCACTAACTCTCTTTTCACCGCTGCTCGATAAATACTCATGAATTCAGGTGTCTAAATCACGATACCCGAAGCTGCGTCCCCAGCTGAAGCAAAGCCGAGGAGGGAGGGTTCGAGACCTGTCAGAGATGCTTCTCTTTTTCCCATTATATAGCTCAGAAATAAATTTGCATGGAACTTTTAAAATTTCTTCTCAAGTAAAAATGTTTTAAGTCTCTGATAAGTTTCTCAATTCTTTTTATGAGGTTTTGGGATGGGAGTTGGTCCGCCTGAAGCGTACTCGGACAGCTCGGTGAACATCTAGTAAACACCTTTCCGCAGAACATTAGTGCGTTGTTGAAGATGCTGCTATTTTTTTCATTTGCCAGAATATATGAATGCGTGATATTAGGAATGCATTCAGTATGCAGCTCTTGCCAAATACTGAAGGTACATAACCACTTACTTATAACTAACTTACTTTGATATAGTTTTCTTCCTGCTTTGAGGCGGTTTTTTTATTTATCATCTTATCATATATGGCAGCCTAAACTAAACATTTAAAAAAAAATTAGAGATCTCTCACCTCCGACGGGACTCGAACCCGCAATCTTCGGCTACGCTCCGTTCTCAGGTAGACACCCGTGTTTTAGGAGGCCGACGCGTTATCCATTACGCTACAGAGGCCACTAAATAGTTGGCTCATTATCATTTGTTATGATATTAATCCGCTGGTGCTGTAATAGTACCCGCTCAACGAACTATTACAAAACATTGGTGCGATCTCTTAGCTTCTGAGGGCCAGAAATTGCCTTTGCCATTTTATTTCAACACACCTGCCTATCATGCATTTTCGTAAACTGGTTCCTCCAGTGGCCTCATTCACACTTTTCTTCCATGCAGAGCAGGTGATAAGTCTCCAGCTGCCAAAGATGTGTTCTTTTGTTGCAAATTCCTCGTGTATAAATCTGTGTTCTTGTATACAGACGATGTCATGTTTTGTAGAATCAGCTGAGGCGATTAGTTCAGGTATCTTTCCTTCTTTCTGGAG